GGGATTAAATTAAAGAACACAGCATCCAATTTCATACCTGGCTTCTCTTACCACCCTTTACAATGTGACATTTACTCGCTAGCATGATGCCCTTTCTCTATTCCTCTCCCCGACTCACTCTCTCTCTTACTACTCATAGATAATACACTGTGCGGCACACAGGGATTGTTGAAAGCAGGAAAACGATGCCAGCTTTACACAGAATGGAGATACATGTGCTTATTGGATTAACTATATTGAGTTGAAGGTAGTTGTTCCCCTTCCTCCACACTTGGAGTTTGAACTGTTTCTCAGAGAGAAATAGTTGCCAGAGACAACTAGCTTACTCTGTTCCAGCTTTTTTGTTTTTATATCAATTGGATATGCATTAAGTTATACTGCTTAGCTGCGGCTGCACAGATAAAGATGGCAATTAGCTGCCAGACTCTGAGGACTACCTATTGTGACAAACCTCTGGTCCCAACAGCACAATTATTTGAAAAGTGTGGCTTCAATGTAGAATATTAGCTATGAAAAAAATTGCACTTATTACAAATTGATTATTAACACATACATGCACACACAAAATTACTACAGATGCTCACTCTGGGGCTGAGCAGCATCCAGAAAAAACAGAAGTCTCTTTTTTTAATAATGCAAAGCTTTGAGGCACCATCACACCATGCACTGTAATATTTCATTCAAAGAACTGACTCTAATGTAAAAGGTTTGCTAGTCCTGCTGATCCCAAAGAGAATAAAGCACCATATCTCACCATCTGCTTTCACCTCACTGTTTTGACTCCAGTTTGTCTGGTCAGCTCACACAGAGCAGCATAAGACTGTACATGGGCCACAGCTTCAAACTGTAACATCAGACAGGCTGACTTTATACTACCAACCCAGCATGAAGTGGCAGATAGCCCAAATAAATGAGCAGCTGGTAGTGAAAGAATGCAAAGCGCCTCAGTTATTATTTATCTCATGACAAAGAAGCATTTAGACTTGTGTACTGAGAGGTAAAGTTGTAGCCAAGAGGAGTGGAGTCCACAAGTTTTCAATGCCTAAGAGATTACTGACAGTGAAAACAACATTATGCAAGTTGAAGAAAAAAAAAACACACTCTTTTTCAGTTACATATCTAGCAAAGCCATCACTGCTGCAAACCATCTGTTTCCTATTCATTGATGACATGAGGAAAACCCTCCGATATAGAATGAATAGAAACACAATTACTGCGAGGAAGATAAAGCATGATACAATCTGAATATGTGCAACACATCTGGGATAGAAAAATCTGACTCTGAGTTACAGATCAAAACAAACTATAGGTAACAAAAGCACAACAATCACGACCTCTCTGAAGCCAGCATTAGTGGATGAAACCACAGCTAAACTCTAAGCTCTTTGTCCCTGATCAGCCAGTATTATGCAGTAGTGATTGCTTGCTAATATGTTATCTAATACTTGGAGAGTTGATAGAGAAAGGCTCTTTGCTGTGAGAATGTCTGGAGTCTATTTTCTGCCTCCTGACAGGAAATTGCTCAATGCAGCTTTAACACAAACAAATCACAGCAACTGACTATCATCATCCCTATAATCCCTCAAGTTTTAACACTGACAACAGTGTAGTTTATTAGCTTCTACTGTCCTCGACTGTTCTTCCTTCTTAATGACAACTTATATCCCAAGTAGTTTAAGTAGAGGATGCCTTGAAAACTAATCTTGAGACATTATCTGAGGTATATTAAAGGGCCATTAAACAAAGCAGGCTCTCTGCAAGAACATATCAGCCCAATTAAACTGAAGAAAGTAAATAACAGCAAGTGGGGAATTCTACCTTTTTTCATTATATTTTGGGCTTGTACTATTGTTCTCAAATGATTTTAGGCAATACATAGTCTCTGTTAGAAAAACCACTGAAATATGAAAAGAATGAAGATGTTCTGTTGATTCTTATTAAACAAATATGGCAAAAAGATTAAATGAAATGATATTCAGAAATACAAACTCATTATATGAAGCAACTGATGGCCACTAATAAGGTAAAAGCTGTGTTTGATGTGTATTTCTATGCTTCCACACGGGTCATGGCAATGGCCCATGAAACATTAGGTTTTTGGGTTGTCCCGACCATATGTTCATCCCATTCTTGAGGAAACGAAACCACTGATGACTGGTTGGCAAAAGCATATAAAGGCGAAGCGGTAAATCTTGCTTCAAGATTATCCACCATCCAATATCTTTGTACAAGTTTAAGTACCGCTAATGGGCCAATATAACCAGTAAAACGCAGTATTCTCCTTGCCAAAATGTGGTTAAAGCTAATAATTTGATACTGAAAAGGGTCTTCTACCTCATATTGCCTTTAATTCTCTCTTGTGGGTTATTTCTTAAAGATTACCAACCATTCAGTACCTGTGTACCAGTTTTATTTCACTCTTGTGGGTTATTTTTATGCCTCTGTGCCAGCAATAGCTGTGGCCAAAGGCATTATGTTTTCATGTTTTCCATCGGTACACAGGTACATCTGGCCATATGTGCATCTGTCTGTATGTCTGTCTAGCCCATTCTCCTACAATGATATCTCAGGAACGCCTTTAGGGAATTTCTTAAGATTTGGCAAAAATGTCCAGCTGGATTCAAAGATGGACTAAATAGATTTTGGTGGTCACAAGGTGAAGGTCACAGAGCCCTCACGTACATCCCATTCCCATGAATTTGACAGTTTTCTTCTAATTTCTTTAACTGAAATTCAGCACTCCGATTCAAAACCTCACATACGTTTTTTTTTTTTTTGTTGCATGTGTACAAGGTTTTTAAAATGTTGGTGCTCTTTTCAAATGCATCCTACTTAGTGAATTAAGCTGTATCCTAATTAGATGCTCTGACTAAAATCCACTCCAAAATCAGGGTTCACATGAGTTTATAGATTTCATCAGAAAATAATGCTGAATTGGTTGCTTTGAAATATATGACCTATCACATCACAGCAAGAAGGTTCCAGATTCGAGCCCAGGCCAACTTGGGGCCTTTCTGTGTGGAGTTTGCTTGTTCTCTCTGTGCCCGTGTGGATTCTCTCTGGGTACTTCGGCTTCCTCCCACAGTTCAAAGACATGCAGCTTAGGTTGATTGGCAACTCTAAATTGCCTGTAGGTGTGAGTATGTGTGGTTGCCTGTCCCTGAGTGTCAGCCCTGTGACAGGCTGGCGACCTGTCCAGGGCGTACCCTGCCTCTTGCCCAATGTCGGCTGGAATTGACTCCAGCCCTCTCGAACCAATTTGGGATAAGCGGTATAGATAATGGATGGCTGGATGGATGGCTGGAGCTTGCGTCATCGCATTAATAAAGGCAAATCTCTATGATGAGGGAAAACTCAGGTATGGGAGAGAGTCCCCGTCCAAATCTTATTAAGAACAGATCCTCCTTTTATTAAAGGATTTATTGTGGGATTTCCCTGTGCAGCAGTGTGAACTGAGTGATACGCTCCACTGCAGAGGACCCGAGGAACTCTCTGGATCTGATTCCAATTAAAATCTGCAACACCCCTGGAAGGTTTCACATGCTGAGTGAAAGTCAAAGAACACTTGTGACAAAAGCTCCCTGGTGTACAAACAGGTGCTAGTTGTTACCTTTCGTCTGACAGCTTGAAACAGATAAATAATACATTTAAAATCTCTTTTCATTGTGATTCCTTTTAAGTGAGGGTGTAAAGATAGGTTTAAGAATGTTTGGGGTTTTTTGCCTCCTTTCAGCTGTGAATTAAACTAGTGTTATTGGTCTAGATTGATGGAAGCACTACTTTAGTTCCTCAGAAGAAAACTCACTTAGAAGCATTACAAAAAAACAAAGCTGTAGTACAATAAGATTACAATGACCTTCAAGAAAATAATTATCTAAAATACCTTGATAAGACTGCAACTAATGATTATTTTGAACTTCACTTAATCTGATGATTTGTGTGATAAATCCAATAATTTGATTTGTGAAACAGAAAATATTGAAAAATCACAGTTTCCCAGAACCCAAAATGAAAACCTATACAAATTGTTGGTATTTTAGCTTGTTAAGTGGCTTAAACGATTATTTGATATCTCAATAGCAAAAAGGCAACCGTGCTAAATGGACAAAAACAAGCTCCAATTTAAAGCACTACAAAAAAGACAGCATACAAACATTTAACTGGAGAAAACATTAATTATACTGGACACAAGTAGGACACAGCTAGCAGCTGCCCACCTTAGTGCCATCCCCTACTGCTCTTTTCTGGAGGAAAACATCATGTTATTTGTGCATAACCATGTCAAATGGAAAGTTCCACAGCATGGTTCACACATCAAAAAACAAAGGATTAATATTGCTTCAGAGATGTTTTTCTGCTGTGAGCCGAGTTGGCTTGTAGTTTTGGTCTAAATGGAGCTCAGAGGGCATTTTGTCCTCATTTGGCAAGATTAATTTCCTTGTGATGTCTGTTTGCTTGTGGACATACTGGCTTACTTTTTGTACCTCAGTACTGTGGAAATTGCCCTTTTTGTTATTTTTTATTTATTTTTATTGGCTGACACCCATATCTTTTCCTTAAGTTACACAGAAATTGATATGCTTCCATCCATATTGATCCTCAGCCTCACTTTAGACAGAGTTTGTGTCAACATTTACAAACTGCAAATCAACTAAACTTGCTAGCTATTCCTTTCTTGTTGTTAGTAAAAGCTGTAGGTGTTATTTGTTGGTCCCATGTCGATTTTTAATACATGAATTCAGTGGCTTAATACAAAATTCTTATTTTTTAATCCCTAGTTTTGAGGCAGGCGGTTTATGGTAGAGAGAAAGCATTCACTTAGATTGTATGAAAACAATTGCTTCTTTCCCCATATTTCCCTGCAAGCTCATCATTTAGTTTAAGTCCGTCTTAATGCAGTTTTATGCTTGTAACAAAAAAAAAAAGTTTGCAGGTTTTGAAAAAGAACGCCACATGACCAATCTGTCCCTTTGCTCCTTTAGCAAATTGCACACACTTACCAAACATGTTTCCAATATGCCCGTTTCTCGTTAAAGGCCGCAGCTCATTCTTGCCCCAGGCGTAGTGCTTGTAGTTGTCCCAGGCAAACTTCATCATCTGCAACATAAATAGAGGGCAGACATACCGATCACTCGACTGATAGGTAGGCAACACTCCTCCAATACAAGACAATTAAATAAGGTATAGCTCAAGGCAACCTGAATGATAGCGTATTGATCAGAACTGGATTAAGGTCAAGCACACCATTATCACACATAAACAATACCGCTAAACAATAAGATTGGCATTTCCCTTGCAGCTGTTCCTCCTAAATTAAAGCTTGAATGAGGTCAGAAGATGAAAAGCAAGTTTAATAGATAAGACCGCATTGTAGAAATGAAAGTATTACTTTTTTTTCCCAAAGGATATCCCTTCCCAACTGATACAGGAAAAAAATGACTTGTAAATTAGGAAATTGTCTTTGAAACAGTAAAATAACAAGACAGAGCAATGCAGGCAAGGATGAAGGGAAGCTGAAGAACCAAAAGCTGTGTGCTGCATGAAAACACAGTTAGCTTAATGACATGTACGAGAAAGTTGGTTTAAATAATATCAGAACAAAAAACAGAAAAAAAATTCAGTCCTTTAGTTAATGTCCACTTTTGTTGGTTCTTAACACCATTTAATGAATACAGTTTTACTGTAGCAACTTTAGGTCAGTCATTAAGGACCAACTGTTGGCTCCTCTCTAAGCTTCTGACTAATCTGCATATAAAGGTTAAGGAACGACCAAAATGATTACAGCTCATCCCGAGGGAAACCTATATGCCTGTACTACATTCCATCAAGTGATTGTTGAGACATATCACTACAAACAAAGTGTTGACCTCATGGTGGTGCTAGAGGAAAAGTCAGAGGATTGCCATAGTTGTTAGGATCTGAACTCTAGGGACCATGAACATCACAGCAAGATATTCAGTCGCTGTTGACTCTGGACCAAAGTGGTGGACTAGTGCTATTGCCATGGCAGTAGCTACTGCAGCATTGCTAAAATAAGGGGTGTATTAGTGTAGAAACTGAACTGATGTTGTGCAGATTAACTTACTATAAATGAAGTCTATCTTTTTGTTTACATAGACAATTCTCATTAACAATAATAGTGCACACACAGCAGACATATAAGCCATGTTTTCATATGATTCAGACACTTTCATGGCTTTGCCAGCTGAGCAGTATGACTTTTTAAAGAGGGTGGAGAATGCACGCACATATGAATAATGCATTTTTATAATCTTGAAAAAAAATGAAAACCAATTCCATCTGCAAGTATAGACAGTATACCTGACATGAGTACTCTCAGCAATGACAAGTTCATCAAATTCAATCGTCTTCAGCAAAACAAAACCAAACAAAGAAAACGGGTAGCCTCAATGCAATCTGTCAGAAGACGGACAGATAGTCCAGGGTTTGAATTTCGCCTCTTGGGATTTCACAGTGATGTGATGTCATCTTTATTATCAATACTATGCGAGACTCCATGATCTCCAGAAATAGGCTCATATAAGCTTGTGAGAAACAAACAATCTGATTACCTCTGTCAAGGCCTCCGGCTGTAAGTCCTCTCACCCTAAAAACCTCATTATAGACTCCTCAAAGAACAGAATCCTCGCACTAAAACAACCACAGGTACCATGAAGGACCCACTTCATGCACTTTAAGTTCAAGAAAATGATACAATTTATAATTTAGGAATTATATGCCATTAAATTATTCTGAAGCTACACTGTCAGTTTCATTTGCGATTTGGCATTGGCGCTACATCACACACTAAAGCTCCATGTACAGAAAAATAGTCATAAACCAGCAGAACAATGCAATGTGCATTAGGGTCCTGTTTGTTGTTTTATCTAAAGTATGGCATCAAATCGGAGAAAGGAGCATTTCAAAGAGCTTTTCTCCGTTTACACAAACAAATACCGACGATGTATTCAGTAGCAATCTAACAAAAGAGGAAAAACAATCACACAATATGATTAAAAGGAACAGCAACAATGAAACTTACGGTGGAAATATATTCACAAAGCTAATTTTTTTTCTGTAGAACATGTTGAAAAGAAAATTAGCCATTGTCAGTCTGTGTTTCACCAGAATATTCTACCTTGCAGAAAGAAACCCAGCAAATGTCTGAAGTTTTATTTGAAACTCACTCCATCTTTTATAACGCCAGCCTGTCCCACTCCTCTGGAGGCTTGAAAAGCAAAAGAACAAAAATAATTGAAAAAGTGTACAAAATGCGGATTTTGGTAAATGGTAGACTGTATGTCACATTGTCTCTGCAAAAAAGGCAGCAGCAGGATTTTATGACCGTCAGATAAAATATGGGGAAAACAGAACAGAGACAGGTGCTATGTATAACTGCAGGCACAGAAAATGTAAAATGACAGCTTTAATCAGGAATGACATGATGCTACTGTAAAAAGAGGATTGAATTCAGGTGGCAATGCAACTTAATTTAAACTTCTATTATATTCGTACACTGTTTAAGCCACATAAAATGTCACAAACAAAAAGCTATTCTCCTGAGGTCATGGCAGCTCCTTCAAATGCGATTTTACTAAAACCTAAAAGTATTCTGTTTAGAATAGATAGAAAGTAATAGATACAAAATGGATTAAAAAAAATGATCATGACATTTGAGAAGCTGAAAACAGGGATTTCCACCAGAAGCCAATTAGTCAATCAAAATTAAATCATCTTGAATGTGACGATTTGCCGCTTTTCATGCTCCCCATATACATTTTGGCAGATTTTACAGTGTTGATCAGACAAAATATGCATTCTGAGGACATCACCTTAAGTTGTGAGAAATTATGATGGGCATTTCTCACCATCTGCAAACGAATAATTCTATTTGATAGGTTAGAATATCACACATTATTTTGATGGTTTATAAGCAGATCTACTATAGGTAAAAGTTGTGTTTTCATGCCAAAATGTAGGAACAATCAAATTCACACTCCTGCTGCGACTCACTAAAGATGCTTCATTCCACTGGAAGGAAACAGATGTCTGGCACTTCGTTTTCACATCCCTGCTGTGGTGCGCTGCAGAGGGTCAAAGTGTGGGAGGATCGGGGTCACACAGCAGTAGGACTGTGCTGGTGTATCCAGCCGTCATCACAACACATACAGCACTAATCAATAGCTGCAGCTTTAGCGGAGCACGCCACCCCCAAAGCTGCTTCTCCAAGAGAACAAACAGATAAACGATTTGTTTCCAGGGGGACACAAAGCAGACATGGACATGATCTGACAGAACACTGACCATTCTTTGGTTAGACTAATTGGCTGGTTGTTGGGCACAGAAGATCAATAACTGAACACTGATCCAGTGATTAAAATAAATCACAATAAAATCACCTACTGCTAGTCACCCAACAACAACCAGATCATAAACGTGACAAGCCGTTGCATAAGTGATTACATTTCATTGTATTAATGCAAAATTACTGAAATCACTGAGGAAGAGATACAATATTATAGGCTTTGTTACATTCAAAATAGCTTAGAAAATCCTGAAACTGCAACAAAATGAATTTTCCTCAAATGAAGAAAAAGGTATTGCAAAAATTATTTCAGGAGTTTCCAAATGTCACAGTAGCTCTTTGTAAACTTTCCAGAACCACAAAGAAAATCTATTCAACCTCCATCAACAGTACAATCACTGCAGGGTAATGCACTGGTCTTGCATGAAAGATGAAACCTTGGTTGTATAATTGTAACCCATTCTGTCTGAATTAAAGTGTAGGCATTGTACACACCGAGGTGTTTCTCTTTGGATAGGTGTTCTTTTAAACTCAAGGCTATACTCAGCCATTCTTTGTCTTTCTGAGTCTGCTGGATCTACATCTGCTACCTCTATCACTGCCTGTTTGCACAGAACAGAAACTCTCAAAAGGTGAATAATCATCGACTGCTGATGCCCAAGAGGGGGCTGATATGTAAATGTGTGAGTCATGTGTGAAAAGTCAAAAGAACAGGCAGAGAACAGGTATTACAAAGGATTGTTTTTAGCAAAAGGTTGAAGACCTAAAGTTGGCAGCCAGTTACTTCAAACCACGTTGGTAAATATGGACATACATCATCCATCATGGCCACTAGTGAGGCTTTTAAAGTTTGTTTTATCAGTCACTGCAAAGATGAGACCTAACCAACAAGGTTCATGTTTAACAATTTAAAGGGATGGAGCAAAGGCAAAGAACCATCTGGTTCACAACAGAGACAATCTGAACTGCAGTTTCTCTGAGGCAATGATATAAAAGAGAGAGAGAGATAATAAGCAACCTCTCAACCAAAAGCACTGCCTCAGAGAAAGAGACGGTATAATGAGATGTTGCCGGAGGAAGAGGTCTGAATCTGAAATCAAATGCAAAGATAAGTCTTCTGAATGGTAGGGCTATGCTAATATTTTATTAATCTGACCAGCAGCGATCCACAGCAAATGCAAACAAAACAAAGTTACTGCCATAGCCATCCTCATGGGGTTATTCCCAAAGAATATAACTGTTATCCCTACAATAGCAAGGCTTATGTGTAGCGCCCAAGTGTTTTTGCAGAGCGCCTAAGCTGAATGAATGCAAAAAGGCAGCATATCAGAGTCAATGTAACAATGGTGAGTTATATGCTCACAAATACCAGAGAGGTGACTGGATCTCAAAATGAAATGCAAGCTGCACCAGGATAGCCCCAGGCTTGTGACTGACATGTATTACATGTATTACTCTGTTACTTAAATTGATGACAGGATAAAATGAAACTCGCAGTTGTCAGGTTTGTGACCTCGCTGCAGTCGGTGGAGAAACAGCCAACACCGTCTGCTGTTACAGTGGTCATTTATAAGGTAAAGAGGCATCACTCTGCAAACACCACCAAATAACTAGAATGAACTGAATGTTTCGTAGATCAGAGTGAGACGTCTTCACTGGTAAAACCAGTAGCTGATCTCACGTCACTGATGGTAAAGTAGTGTGGCATGACCACATTTGAATTATTAAATAACAGTTCCTCTGTATTTCATTTGAAGACGGCAATGCATTGTGTACACTGGAGGACCAGGTT